ACATTCAATGGTCCCCCGAGCCCAGACAGGGGTTTCCAGGGCCCGTAGGGTAACAACTACGGGAAGCCCGGGCAAGGTGTTGCTAACCGGTTAAGAAACCCAAACATAACAAGAGGGTAGATTATAGCACTGAAAACCCCTGAGACGTGTACAAGCACGGGGGCCTAGCAGAGGGCCGCCAAACACTACCAGTGGAACTATAACCACCTTAGGCAGACCCCCACCCGGCAAGAAAATGAAAAACAAAAGAAAAACCCCGCAAAAGTACACCGTCTCCAGAGGCAACAGAAACCGGCCGCCGCTTAGGTGGCAGGCTGCGCAACACCTTGACGCCCTAACCAGCACAATACCAATCCCTACCCAGGGCCAAACAAGGGCCCCAAGCCCCAGCTGGCCCCAAGGGCGAGGCAAATGCCGAGCAGCAAGAACCTCTACGGGAATGGTTCCCGAACGCCCCAGGGAAGATAACCCTGTAACGCAAGGGCAGTACTCACAGGGCGCTTAGGGAAGTCAGCCACTAAGCACATGCAGCCCCGGCACTGATGAAGTACTCCTGGCCACCGCACACCACAACACACGGCAGTGAACGCCACACAAGGCAAACACCGCCTAGGAAACTGAGGCCAGAGAAGCGTCAATCCCGGTTGACATTAGCGAACGAACTAGAGCTTGGCAGCCGGCGCGGTAGGTCCGGGGCTCCCCCCTCCCCCTCCCGGGGTGGGGAGGGCTGCGCGGACGATCGGCGCGGCAGTAAAGTGTGATGTTTGCTTGTTTGCTTGTTTCCTTGGGATTGTAGGGAGTTTTCTACCTCTCTGTTCGGTTTTTGTTGTAGTTTCTTACCATGTGGGGTTTGTTTTGTTACGCCTACCTTTCTGGGTGCCTAACCCCGGTCGATGGCAGATAAGGAAAACCCCCAACCATATGGGGTTTTCCAGGGCCATTGCTCCCTGAAACCTCTCTGAAGGGGCCAGGTTCTGGCGCTGGTCCCTGGTAGGTCTGAACTCCTTAGCTAATGTCCCGGTCTAACATAACACACATTAGCCCGATAAGCTCCAGGGAGCCGTAGGGGCTCCCCACAGAAATACTGGAGTTAAATGATATTTTTAAACTTAAGATCCCAGATATTGTTACACTAACAGAGATGAACTTGAAAAAATTGTTTTAAATGAAGTCATATTCCCAAGGGCTGCTCAATTTGGAGACGTGACAGGAAAACTGGGAAGGGGGAAGGAGTGGCTGTGCTGGTGAAAGAACACCTGAAGGTATGAGAGTTAATAATTGAAGACCCTCAAGAAGTTGAGATAATGGCATTGTAGGTTTGGAATCAGGATGATAAACTGATAATCAAAAATAACTACAGCCCATCAGCAAGCAACACATGGACAAAGGAGGAACTAGATGACAAACGAGAGGGCCTCATAATGGTCATGATAGAGAATATAGTAAAAGCAGATAAAGATAAATCATGATTGTTGGTACTGGGGGACTTTAACTTGAAAGCAATAGACTGAGAGGCCTATGAAGCAAGAACAGAGGACATTTGGACAGACAGATTTGTAGACCTCATTTTGGAGACATTCATGTATCAACATGTCAAGCAGGCTACAAGAATGAGGGAAGAGGTTGTTTCGTCAAACCTGGATCCAATATTCACCAGAAAAGAAGAGATATTTGACATCCAGTACTTTCCTCCCTTGGGAAGGTGATCATGTCCTGTTAGAAATTAAATATGCTTTGCAATATACTGTAATCTAGACTGTAATCTAGAAGAGAATGGGGACACTGAAACAATTGATAAGCTTGATTTCAAGAGAGGACACTATGGGGAACTCGTAAAAGAATTTTCTGAGTTTCATTGGACAGACTTGTTGCCAGGCAAGGAAGTAAATGAGATGTATGCCAAATTTTGCAAAATATACGATGATAGCACACAAACATTCATACCAAAACGGAGATGCTGGACCAGAAAACAGTATTAGATAAACAAAAATTGTGTGAGAGCCAGAGAGAAAAAGACAAGAAAATGGGTTCAAGATAACCTATCCCCCCAGTACGTGAAGAGGCCTAACATGCAAACATACCATCACAATAAACAAGCATGAAACAATTAAACAGCAGTGAGGAGAGAGGCAGAAAGGAACTTTGAGAAAGGTATAGCAGACAAATGTAAAACAGATCCAGGCCTTTTCAATAAATTCTTTAAAAGCACGCTGCATGTGCAAGATAAAATTCAGAGATTGAGAACAGGGAACAGGCCTACTGAGAATGAAAAAGAAATGTGTGAAATGCTAAATGAACAGTTTCAAAGTGTGTTTGTACAAAATGAGGATTTCATAGAACCGAACCCACTATCAATTCCTAAACACGTCATAGAATAAATAGAGGTATCTCGAGACGAAGTGAAAATATTACTCAAGGGGCTAGGAAGAAATAAAGCAGTTGGACCTTATGGAGTTTTACCTTGGGTGCTGCGAGAATGTACAACTGAGCTGAGCATTCCACTCCACTTAGCAGATACAGCATATGGAAAAAGGCAAACATAGTACTGCACTAATCTATAAAAATGGTAGTCAAGGGCCACCACTAAATTATAGGCCTGTATCATTAACAAGCGTGGTAGTCATGACACTAGATAAAATATTTAAAGCCAAAGGGGTTGAACACCTAGTGAGTATTGACATAGTAACGGACAGACGATATGGTTTTCAAACAGGAAGAACTTGTGTAACAAACCTACTTTGTTTTTATGATAGAGCCACAGAGTTAATACAGGAAAGAGGTGGTTGGGTTTGGCTTTGGATAGTCCCACACAAGAAGCTGTTCTGGAAACAAATATGCTGGAGGGGGTGACAAGTAGACTTCTGACACCGATGAAAAGTTTTCTAACAGACAGATGAGGGCGGTAATCAGAGACAATGTATCTGGCTGCAGGAGTGCTACTAACAGAGTACTACAGGGTTCAGTTCATGCACCAGTAATGTTCATTGTCTACATTCAGTTTACATAAGTCTCCGTGGTGTAGTGGTAAGACACTCGCCTGGCGTTCCGCGAGCGCTATGTCATTGGTTCGTATCCTGGCCGGGGAGGATTTACTGGGCGCAATTCCTTAACTGTAGCCTCTGTTTAACGCAACAGTAAAATGTGTACTTGGATGAAAAAACGATTCTTCGCGGCAGGGGATCGTATTCCAGGGACCTGCCCGAAACGCAACGTGTACTAGTGGCTGTACAAGAATGTAACAACTCTTGTATATATCTCAAAAAACAAACAAAAAAAAAAAAAAAACTACCAGAATGAATACAGAATTATTTAAACATGTTTGTGGATGATCCTAAGATACAGGGGAAGATAGGAGACGCAGGCGATTGTAATGCCCTTCAAATCGATCTAGATAAAAAAAATGCTTGGAGCATCAAGTGGCTAATAGAATTCAATGTGAATAAATGCCATGTTATGGAATGTGGAATCAAAGAAAATAGACGACACACAACTTACAAATTATTTGGAAAAGAATTACAAAAAAGAAGACACAGATTCAAACTAAGGAAACAAAGGTGCCAAAAAAATATTAGAAAGTTTTATTTTGTAAACAGAGTGGTTGATGGTTGGAATCAGGATAAGTGAGGTGGTGGTGGAGGTCAAAACCATTAATAATTTCAAAATGTTATACGACAAAGAGTACTGGAAAGACAGGACACCATGAGCATAGCTCTCATCCTGTAACTACACTTAGGTAATTACACACACTCCTCAAGCTTGCTATCATACCTCAATCATTCATGTATTCCATCTATTTGTTTGTAATCCAGCCCCTGGCGGCACCTCCATTCACAAGAGGCCTATGTAGTTTCGCAACCTGCCACCATGTTGGCACGGCACAACTTCTGTACCTCCTCCAATGACACAGTCTTGTTTAGATTCCTGCCCACGGCGCCCAAAGCCCTTCCCTCTTAGCGTTTTATATCTCAGTGTCTCTGAGTCGATATTGTTATATCTCTTTATATCTTAGCGTCTTATATCTATCTAGCATCTGTGCATGTTTTTTGTATCCTGCTACTATGGCATCATTAAATGAAGGAAACCTACTGTTCTGGGCTTCAACAAGTGGTGGAGCCAACAGAAAACATTGTCATGATTTTTTATCAAAACATTCAGCTTATAAAGGAAGATGAATCTGGAATGTCTCCTATGTGGTCCATAGAATTACACAATGCCACCCAAAGTTACCCAATGTTAGCCAAAGTCTCCTAGCATTACATAAGTAATTAAGAAATGTGGTATATTTACCACAAATATACAGTACCACAAATAATATAATGTTGGTGATGATTACAGAACATGAAAAAAACTAATTCTTAATCTGAAATAACCTTATTTCATAACAAAATTAAAGGAAAATATATGACAGGTGATGCAACATGAAGGCGACAATCAAAGCGACAATGTTGTGGAGCGTTATGCTAAATATTGTTATAAATATGCATTCTACTAGTTAATATCACCAATTAAATTTGCGACAATTTGAACAGTAAAGTACGACAATGGATCACTGTGAACAGGAGGCTGATATGCCAGCAAACTCTCTCCAGGCAACAATATATCTCGGACAAGTTGCTCTACAACACTGTCGCTTGGATCGTTGACTTCCAATGGCATCACCGAGCCATATTCTTGTCTCAACCCTCAGTTAACACCACCATACTCACCTACACATCATTCCAAGATCCTATGTGGAGAAACATCTGGACACTTGGTGAGTGCCCATATTTATTGTTGCTTTATTACCAGTATTCTGTGGTGTTTTGTTTAAAGTACATATCAGTGAAACAATAATGTACTGTTATGTACTTTTGTAAAACTACCACTTGATTTTTAACATTAAATAGTATGATGTCCAGTACACAAATATTTTGTGCCAGATATGTTAATATAACTGTACTACCTGAGTATGATGAAGCAGGGGCCCCCAAAAAGATGAAATTATATACAAAATCACTTACCTGTGAAAGAATGTAATGTTGCATGGCCATTTCACATTCACCTGCTATGACATCATCCTTTTTCTGAAGCACAATAGCTGCTGCTATATACATTGGCATGAGATACGGTGAAGCCAAAAAGAAGTCGTATAATCTCACAACATTTCGGTAGTCGGAAAGAGTGTGAGCAAACCAAGTAATGAGCCAAGGTAAGCAGAATACTGTTCCAACACCAGATCTGAAATTTTAAAAAGCCGCTATCACCAATAAATATTTAGTAGCATGGAAGTATACTATAAAATGAAGGAGTTAATTTGTATTACAGTATGTTTTCCCCCATGGAAATATTATCATTGGGGAAAAGGGAGACCCTTCCCTATTATTTGTCATTCTTTTTTTTGTCACTCGTAACCTTGTGTGTCTGTATGTTTCAACTTGTATGTATATATTTCTTTCACACTTTTCGTATATGCTGAATGTAATCCTCTTTCCTTTTCCACATTCTTGATTTGTGTTGAAAACATACGCTTCATTTTTACAACAGCGAATGCAGCCTGTAGAATTTTATGACAAATGCTTGAAGTACGTACTGTACTTCAAGTCTTCAATAAGTCATAAGTCATGGAAAATTTACAAATGGTTGAGTTCTCAAGGATGAAGTTTCAAGAGGAAGCAAGGCATCAGACTGTTATAAATAATAACAGTAACTAGTAATGTAAAGGATAACCAAATGAGTGTGAAATAACAAAATAATGAATACAAAAACACTACCAACTATCATTAACTATTATCACCTCTAATATGCTTCCCACTTTCATAAGAGGTTGAAACACCTGTCAAGAAATAATGGAAATGTATTGCCCAGACAAGGGTAAAAATATAAAAAATGCAACGCTCAATATTTCTTACCATTATCCATACTCATTATCATCACAAGCAACTAGTGCCACTATATACTAGCTAGACATCCTTAGTAGTAAATCTGTGATCATATAAACCACGTGTAAATACACATTACTTGTTATATAAACTCTCAAAATATTCTCTATAAAAATATAATATAAATATAATATGTTGTAGGGCCAACACTGGTGGCTGACCAGTTTGGTAGTGACTTTGGCAGGCTCGTTGATATTCATTTATTTTACCTCTGATTTCTCGGGTCGGTTTATATTGGTGGGAAGTCTTAGTGGCGGATTTTTCACAGGTGGCCTCAGTTGCGAGCTGGATGCGGTTGTGGATGGTGTTTACGGCTTGGTCAATTGTTTGGGTGGGGAGGTTGTCGAACTCAATGATGAGGTCGTCAGCGAGGAAGGTGTGATAGGCCCGGGTTCCCATGGTTTCCAGCCTGGGCCTGGAAGGAGCCACAAATCGGAAGGGGGTAGCTTGAAGGGTGGTAACCACAGGGATGTGGTCTGACCCCATGTTCTTGCCTGGAGTCACTCTGCAGTGGAACAGGTTGCAGTTTCTGTTTGTCAGTACTATGTCAGAGGTGCCCCTCACATTGCCAGCAAAGAATGTCATGAAATGGGGGCCTTGGAAGGAGCATTGAATAAGGCCTGATGGTGGGCATTCAGGTCTCCTGCGATTATAGTTGGGAGGTTCCTATCGAGCAGCCTGTTGAGTGAAATAGAGGGGAGGTAGGCGAGTCTAGGTGGTAGATATGCGGTGCAGACGATTAGGGGGAAGTGTGAGGTGGTGAATTCTATTGCAAGGAAGTGGTCATCTTCTATGAGGATAAGCCGGTAGGAAAGTCCTCTTTTTACTAGGATTGCCACCCACTGTGCATCCCCCCCTGTTGATTTCCCTAGTGGAATATCCCCAAAGAGAGATGTGCTGGTCCTGTCTGGCCACTGTTTCGCTGAGTAAGATAATGTCTGGGTTAAGTCTGGCTACCTCCAGGGTGAGGGGGTCTCTGTTGTTGAAGTAATGTCTGATATTCACTTGAAGGATTGTGATCCCCGTTATTGGTTGTGCGCCGTATGAGTTTGTTTAGCTCGATTGCCAGTGTTGTTAACTTTGGTTTGGCTTCTGATGTGTGTGAAGGTGGAGGATAGGTCTTTTGGGCCAGGGATCATGTTTCCGGCACCGGCAGGGGGTTGGTTGGGGTTTTCCGCATGTTGCCATGCAATTGGGGGTCTTCGTTACTGTTACTGTCATCAACGTTCATGTCTGAAGTGCTAGAGCCACTGTCAGATGGAGTATTGAGGGGGGGGGGGGGTCACCTGCCCTTACCTTGTCCTCAGGGGATGAGCTTGAGCTACGAGTGTTAGCCCTGAGCCTCTTGGAGCTGCGGTGTGTGGGGCGCTGTATGCGTCTAGGGTGTCTTATGGCAAGGGTGTATGCCAAGGCTCCGACCATAATATGGAGTGGTTCTACTGTAGTAATACTGGACCTGGGTGTTTGCCAGGTTGTCGGGGTGGAGGGGCCGGGGTGATTCTGGGAGTTTGGTGTCTCTTGGGTGTTGGCTGTGGCCTGGGAGCAGAGAGTACTTGGGAGGGGGTTGTTGGGTTGTACTTGGGAGGGGGTTGTTGGGTTGTGCTTGGGCCTGGTCGGTGGCTGTTGTGCTGTTAGTAGACAGATAGGAGAGCAAGTCCTCGGACATGTGGACAGGGAACAGGCCATTGCCCTTCCTGAGTGAGTTCTAGAAACCCCGGAGCTTCACTGGGTTGTTGGGAAATGTGATTTGGGTAAATGCTAGGAGTTCCGCTCCTGAGCTGGGCTTAGGATCGGGGTTTGTTGCAAGGAGGTTAGATGTTGGGGCCTGTTGGGGTTGGTTCTGGGTTTGCCCTGGTATAACCATGGGGTCAGTGAGGTGTTGGTTGCTCTGGTGTCCCCCTTGGGCGACCGACTGGGCCTGCAACCCTGGAAATTGGGCTTCTTGTTGGTTGGGGTCACCTCAGGCATTTATTGGTGAAGTACAGGCAGGAATGGCGACTGCTGCTTGTTGACGGGCAGCTGTCACCGTTTCTTGTGCTTGCTTGATTGCATCCTGTCTATGAGAACATAGGTGGGAGATTACTATGTGGGCACCATTGCATAGTGCACACTTGGTCGTTGGGCTTGTGCATTCTTTGTAGTTGTGTTCATCTGCACACCTACTGCACTTGTATGCCAAATGGATACAATGTTGCATGCCAAATGGATCTCAATGTTGCATGCACTGGAGTAGTGGTCATACTGGAAGCATTTGAAGCATTGTTTGAGCTTGTGAAACCTCTGTATGGTGATTTAGTCAGGGTCAGACTTGATGCCAAAGGCAGAAAAGCCTAAGTTGCAAGCTTTTGTTGCTTGCTCCAGTGAGACAAGAGTTAGCTTCAGAACTTGGTTGTTGTTGGATTGAGTTGTGAATCTGTGGGCCTGAATTATTTTAAAATTCCTGTTTTTTGTCTCAATTTCTGCAGATATCTCGTCATTTGAGTGTTCCATGATGACGATGATGTGGATTCTATGTACAAAGATGGTGCGTTTGGCTTGGAACTCGACTAGGGGGTAAGCTGAGATCTTCTGTTCCCATAGTTTGTGCAGGCTGTCGGTCGAAAGGAGTTTTGGAAGGTCTGCAATGAGTACCAGCAAGATGGCTCCATTCGTTATTTTTAACATATTTTTGTAGGTAATCTGGGTGATCCCGTGAATCACCTCAAGTAGTTGAGCTAGAGATCGAATCTGGCCAGATTCGTCAGTGAATCTGACTTTGGTCACCATGGCCCTGTGGAGCCAGGAAGCCTAGTCTAATCTATACTATGGTAGGTGGTTGTGTTGTGTCTAGGTAGACTAAGTGGCTGGTGGGTGTTAGTTCGGCCGTGGCCGCTAACTTCTAGTTGTTAGGCAACTAGAGCTACTTGAACAGTTGATAATTGAACCTATCAGTAGCCTAAACCTGCTACAAGGCTGTTAGTTGCAAAATCAAACCTCCGCGAGAATTTCAAGAATCCAGTTTTGGCTACCCTTCGGGAATGATCATTTGGAATGGTGAAATACAGGAGGTAGAAACAGTTTGGAAAGACAGCCTTATTCACATCTTAATTCTATGGTTAGTAGGTTGTGCATTGTGTACTGTGTGTGTAATTACCTAAGTGTAGTTACAGGATGAGAGCTACGCTCGTGGTGTCCCGTCTTCCCAGCACTCTTTGTCATATAACGCTTTGAAACTACTGACGGTCTTGGCCTCCACCACCTTCTCACCTAACTTGTTCCAACCGTCTACCACACTGTTTGCGAAAGTGAATTTTCTTATATTTCTTCGGCATCTGTGTTTAGCTAGTTTAAATCTATGACCTCTTGTTCTTAACCCTCAAACCGCTAGGGGCCCAAATGGAATTCACACCCACAGGCGCAACAAAAAAAAAAAATTCCAAAAAATTCTTTCGTCTTATAGAAGTGTTCATTTTTGTTCCCTGATCACGGAAAAAATAACAAAAAAATCGTAGGTGGCATATTTTAGCCGCAATAGGGTAGGGAAGTGTGGCAAAAAAGGGGCATTGGCAGAGCCTTCGCCAGACGAGGTCTACTCCGCCCGAGCTGTCAGACAGCAGTTGCCACAAATATATTATTACCTAATTATTTCAATGTCTCCGATTGATTTTTTCTTAGTTTTTTTGCAGTAATATTATTCCATACAGTGAATTGTGGTATATTTATATTATAAAATGTGTGAACCATCGCTGTACTCAAAATTATGGTGTGCATATTAGTGATTCAATTATTATGTTCATAAAACAATAAACAAATAGTTTTGCTGTTGTTACACTATATACACAGGTTATATATAAGTATTTGCATGTTTTGTACACCATAACGAACTACTAAGTTGGTCTTTGAGTCAAAAAGCAACGAGGAGTGACCGCCAAACACCAGCGAGCCACTCACTGCCACTCCCTCCCTCAACACCTCCTCACTCACCTCCTACAATACTCTTTCTGTATATATTCACTATACACAGACGTTATATATACGTATTTACATGTTTTGTTCACCATAACTGTACATCTAAGCTTGTATGGTGAGTAAAGGCCACAAAGACGTAGCTACTCACACAGTCAGCTGATCGGCGGCCGCCCTCAAGGCCAGATGCACTAATATTTGTCCTTCAACAATAGTTTGTGGTGTTATTACGCTATATACACATATTATATATAAGTATCTACCTGTTTTATTCACCATACCTGAACAAATAAGCTGGTATGGTGCCCAAAGACCATAGTGGCCATCAGTAAACACCATGCCAAGACGTGCAGA